AAAAAAAAAAAGACCGGCACTCTCCTATGGCCTTCGTCTGTTATGAACCCATTTTACAGGTGAGATCATTAAGGCACAAGAGGTTATGCCTCTTTCTCAGTGTCACCCAGGGCCTCATAGGAAACCCCACCATCACAGAGTCTCCAGGACAGCCACCTAGTCCCACATTTTCCTCAGCCCTCAAATCCTGCCTGTTACGAGGCAGAACGCAGCACTGAAGAGTAGAGTCCGAGGCACCCTGGGCTCAGTTGCAACTCTGGTGGGCACCCAACACAGACTATGCTGCCGTCTCTTGGTGCCTCGGCTTCCTCACCTGTAGATGAGGGTAACAGTATCTACCTACTAGGATGGGTGAAAATTACACAAGTTAACATCCATCAGCTTCTTAGCAGGCAGCCTGTTGTGCAGTTAGATGCCCCGTGACTGTCAGCTGCTGCCATTATCTGTAACATACTAGTTGTTACCATCCTGCTGAGGCTACCTAGAGTCCTCTGGACAGCCCTCACCTGTGTCGTCCCTTTCCCACCCACCCCTGCAGCCCTGAGGCTGCCTGGGGCCTCACCGTCCTCGCTGGGGGCTCCAGGGGAGGACTCCGAGTCCGAGGAGCTGCCTGGTGGGCCCCCGCCTGCCGCAGCGTTGCCCCCTGCCTCCTTCAGCCATTTCTTCCTCTTCTTAGGGGGCGGTTCAGCCTTCACCTTGGTAGGCCGGGCTTTAGGCAGCCGGGATGTGGCAGGCTGTCCTGTGGCGAGACTCCGCTCTGGCCGCGTCTGCCGTCCGCTGGCGGCCCGCTCGCCCCGCAGTGGCCGCTCCCCACGCGTCACCTTCTCCTTCTCCTTTTCCTTCTCGACAGGCCGCAGGAGGGAGGGCTTCTCGGGGGCAGGGGGCTCAGGCATAGCCGTCTCAGGCGTCTGCTCTGGGGGCTTTTCAGATGTCGTCTTTTCAGGGGTCTCAGGCTTGGGAGGTGGTGCTGGGGCCTTAGGGGGAGGTGCAGAGCTACCCCCAGCAGATGTGGGGTTCTTGGCCTGCCCAGAGCGTCTAGAAGGGAACAGAGAAGGGAAGGTAGTCAGTAGCCCCTGAGAACCCAAGTTCTCCTCATTGCCCCTGCTCAGTGCCCTAGGCACAGAAACAGCTTCTCTCATACTGTCCCCTCCTCTCTCTGGGTGTCTGTTACCCTCCCTCTCTGGG